TGTTTCTGTGTGTGTGTGTGTTACTGTGTGTTACTGTGTGTGTGTGTGTGTGTTACTGTGTGTGTGTAATCCCACCATCAGTATGCCGGTCATGCTTTTTACAACAGAGGGAAGGAAATTGAAGAGAGAGAGAGAGAAAGAGAGGAGGAGGAGGGAGGCGACAGTCCAACATGGAGTTCTTTTGATTACAGATGGTAAATGGGCCTCAGTCACCTCCTCCTCCTCCTCCTCCTCCTCCTCCTCCTCCTCTTCGTCGTCTCCTCGCTCATTCTCACTCGAGGGATTTGAGGTGGACGTGAGAGGAATCACTGACCAGGCAGTGTGTGCTCCGTACTGTATTTCTGTTTCCATTCGGAGCTCACGGAGGTCGTCGCTCTGTTGTTCTTTCATTATTATTATTATTCACAGTTTCTCTCCCTCACCTTCATCGCTGGAGGTCGTGGATGGAATCAAATTTAGGACGAAGATGATGCAGTTCTGTTCGCTGTTTGTTTGCTTTAGTGGAAGAAAACAGCTCCTGCCTCCGCGTTGTCCTCGTTATCCCGGTTATAATGCGGCCACTAAGATCTTTATTTTATATTGTCACGTGTTTTTTTATCGAAATCTAAAGTTTTTGTACAAGCCATGACTCTGTTTCCATGGTAACACTTGAGGCCCTTGGTAGAATCATTACCATCCCATAATGTTCTAATGCAATGGAAACGTTGGTCACTGCTCCAGTAAATAGGACGAACCGTAGATAACAGACGACACACTGTAAATATAATGTGACAGTAAGTTGGAGGATCTCTAATAGAAAGTATGAGTCGGGCTGTCAGATATATTTATGAGATATTCAGAGTTTATTTGAATTATTTTAAGTTAGCTTACTTCTTTTATTAAGACATTTAGTTTAATGGTTTATTGTGAAAACCGGGTGATGGTTAACAGTCAAAGACGTCAGTTTGGAGGTTTGTTGTCTCTTTTATGTTGGAGGTCTACGGGGTTTTTTGGGCTGCGAGGGATTTTCTTAGATGCAGTATTGCGACTGACCACAGGGGGCGTATATCAGCGCTCTGTGAACATCAATCTGTGTTTCAATAAAACACAAACGAGTGACAACGTCGCAAACACACAAAATACTCAATTTATTTAATTCTAAAACAAATGCACAGACAGGCAAACACTGTCTGTCTGTCTGTCTGTCTGTCTGTCTGACTCAGAACTGACTCTTTATGGTTCTGTTTGTCTGCAGGTCTGAACGCAGCCGGAGACTCTCTGCAGGTAAAATCTCTTCCTGTTTGTCACTAATTCAGCTGATCTAACGTTCTGATGGTGGAACGAAATAATCTCATATTCCTTCAAAATAAAAGTCTGCACTTTGAGTAAATACATTTATCATATAAACATTGATCTAATATAATAAGAGAAAATAAAGAGCAGGATAGAAGCCATATAAATAATTTTTAACAGTTACTGTTAATTCATAATATCGAATCGATCATTATTCTTCGATCCAAACTGTTTATTGACTGTAAACCAGTTGTCTTGTGAATGATCGTCTGAAGTTGTTCTGTGATGTTAATCGACGTAACGAGGTCGTGGAGCTGTGATGTGTTTGAGCTCTTTTGGTCAGAAAAGGAGTTGGATTCACTCTGAGGAGCCTCACGCTCTCACATTCCTGATTAATGACGCAGGTTGGACCCAAACAATGAAAACACACATTTGTACATTGAACACATCCATACACACATGAAGTTACACTCGGGTTGAGCTGGAACCGGTATCCAGACAATAACGAGGAGATAAAACGTGTTAATATCTGTACTTTTTAAATACTGATATAGTAACTTTTATAACAACAGATACAGGTAACGGTGTCCTCGCTCACATCCGAACAATAGGCCACATGAAGGACAGCGGTGCGTTCAAGGACTTTCTCTCATCTACAATCCAACTCAAAACAAATGTTACAACCATTTAAATGATGACAGCAAATATTTTAAACTTAAAATCTGTAATTTTATTCAGGTAACGCTGCACTGGTCCGCCTGTTGATGGCCATATCCCGTTTGGTGCCTGCCGTCAGCGTGTGTTTCTGCCAAGAACTGCTCATTACATATAGTTTATAGATCAGTTGAAACCCAATTATTTACCATCCACTGTTTAGATCTTGGTGGCTTTTTAAAGCTGCTAGAGTTTGAAAAGCCGGATGAAGGATTGCCCACCCAGACTCCATTCACAAAAACACTAATTTTACCTTCAGCTCAATTTGGACAGAAACAATCAGCAACTCTGGTTTGGTGGAAATAAATCCATAAATAAACAGTTAAATGTGAAAATGTTAATTAAAAGAGCTGCACTGTAAGCTAACGTTAAACTGACAAATGCGTCGTCGAGCTCTGTCCACTAACAGTAGTAAGTTTCCTGCCACTGACCCCAGACTCAGGTTGTTATGTCAGTGGTCTGACAGCATATGGATAAGGATCCCTAACCAGAGATAGACCTTTAGTTTTAACCACAAACAGCCCGTAATATCATATCCACACGTCCTCCGACCAGGCCGAAGACAAAGATGATGAAGAGTTTAAAGAGTTTGTGTTTCAGTCTGAACTCTGCGACCTCGACAGAAAACACAGTTTGTTTCCCTGCAGATGATTCTGGTTCAGCTCCAGATGACCTGCACTCCTCCACATTCCTGTGTGTGTGTGTGTAGGTGTGTGTGTGTGTGTGTGTGTTTCCACATGTGTTTCTGATCACTGAGACGGTGCGAGAGGAGGACGAAACAGAAAACTGATGCTGACGTCTTTTTCAATTTCACTTACGAGCAGTGGATTGATTGTTTGGTTAATTGATTGATTTTCAAATGTAATTTAGTGTCACATAGATTTCCGATACAGACATAGATTGTTGACCCACAGATCTTCGACATCCTGTCCTGAATACAGTCTCACTGTGTGTCCATTGATCTGAGTATT